AAAACTGAGTATTAATCCACTCTACATGATCCTGGGGTTTTGATTTTGCCATTTTGTCCTTAAATCAAGAACTGAACATTAAGAACAGACAAATGAGACTGATTTCGCTGAGGTCGCTCCTGCTAGCGTTAACAGCAGGTTTGATTGAAAGCATTGATGGGTCCCGCTCCCTGCTAAACCAGTGGTGCGAGCGGGAAGGGGCGTTACCTGCGGCAGCCTTACCGTGGATTGGCTCTTCGGTTGCTATGATACTTGTGGTCAGCATTACAAATGTGAAACTCTGCTCCAAATTCACCCTTATATTATAACTGCTAGTCTCGGTGAGCTTCATTTGAGTGAAGCCAAACGCTATGGGTGACGTCGCACTCACTTGGTCCATTTCTTCCAGTCTGATATGCTTCTGTTGTAGGGAGTATTATACCTAAGATAATGTAAGACCAAGATAGCGAGGGCTGAGCTGGCAACACAGCACAGACATGCAATTTCTCTAACTATACAAGACCAAAGCAAATCATTCCACTGCTCACGAAGGCAGCGATGCGTTTGAACGTTGACTGTGGGATGAGCTGAGTCTACAAACTCTGTCCCTGCGGAGTCCTGTAGTCCTGTTCTTTTGCTGCTTCTCTGTGCTTCTGTGCTGCCAAACCCCCAAATGCTCACTCCTCTCTGCGTTAAAGAGCCTATCCCCGCACAGAGCTCCACGATTGGCTGTGAGGAGCGCCGCGATTGGTGGCGGCCCTGCGCTCTAACGCAGCGCAGAGAAAAGCACATTTCGGAGGTGCTGAAATAGGCAAGAATCATAATACAGTAATTTGGGCTCCCAGGCAAAACATATTCCCGTGTGCACCTGCAGAAGAGTGAAAATCTGATTGTGGAGGTATTGGTATATTGGTACTGCAAGGGTTTTCATAGCCTTATACTGCATATGTTTTTGGATATTATTTTTTTAATGCAAATACACCATAGAGTAAGAGAATAGAGAAGAGAATAATCTATATCTACCATACATAAGAGGGGGTTCAAATGGGTCTGAGCTAGTGATGATTTTCAGCTCTTCTGCCGTATCCGAATCTTCTTGATCCATTCACATCAAAGAACCATTCCAAAGACTGTCTCCTTTTATATTTATTTCTATGACTGAAGCCAATGTGAGAACTCATTCTGACAACTAACTAATCACAGAGAGAAATGGCCAAGGCTCAGATTTGTTTAAACTGGTTCAAACAGAGAGTGGGAGTGTGTTTACCCTTTAAATGATGCATAACGGAAATACATCATTGCACTACAATTACACTGTGTTTTTCAGACTATAAGTTGCACTTTTTTTCATGGTTTGGGTGGTCCTGCGACTTATACTCCGTGCGACTTAAATATTAAAATTTTCACATTGAGAGGGCGCTTTAGGCTTGTGTGTCAATATCTGCTACTCCTATTACTCCTGTACCACTGTCACTTCACTCCACTGGGCATGTCTCCTGCTGAAAGAGCCACTGTCCTGTCTGGTATCACGCCAGTCAAATGCACCATTACTTATGTACCACTTAAAATTTTTAATTTAAACAAACTTATAAAGACAACTGAAACCATCCTGTCTGGATTCAGAAAGGCCGGAATAATTCTAACTGGAAGTGATGCTGAGTCTGAAAACAGCTACACAGAAGAGGAAGCGGTGCTCCGTTTACCTCTGGAGGTCATGGAGTTGTTCAGAAGTGACACTGAGGATGAAGAATTCAATGGATTTGGTGATTTGGAGTGAGATGGAGAGTTCGGTAAACTTATTCTGTTCTGTTGTTTATGTTATAGTTTATCTGAAGAACTGTTCATATGTGACGTTAACAGTCTGTCGTTCTCTGTTCTATTGTTGTTACTATAACTTGACTTTCAAGATGAAATGTTGGTTCCTGGTCTCTGATTTTACATAAATTTATATAAATATAAATATAATAAAGTTACCCCAAAAAGTGCGACTTGTTTTTTTCTTCTTCATTACGCATTTGGTTGGTGCAACTTATACTCTCTTTTAGCCCAAAAAATACAGTAATAATCATTTTAAAAACATTATTACAATGTTATTACAATGTAATATATGTTTGTATCTTCTTTAACGCTGTTTAAATCCAGGCTCAAAACATTTCTGTTTAACTGTGCATATGACTGAAAGGTTTTTATTCTGCACTCTTCTCTCCAATTTATGTCTCTCTTTTTTAATTTTAATCTTCATGATTATTTATGTTTTGATTTGTTTTTATTATGATTTTAATGTGTTTCTTATTCTGTAAAGCACTTTGAATTACTTTGTGTACGAATTGTGCTATACAAAATAAACTTGCCTTGCCTTTTTTTTATGCACAAAGGTCTCGCTCTTGTTTCCTACTCTGCTTCCTTATACCTTATTTTTCGAGGAATGCATGACTAATCTAAACCAAGTGTCTAAAGTTTCCAAAATAAAGACTTGTAACGCTGGTTTGCCTAACTGGGGTTTTTAAAGATTTTTCCTGTAGTGAGAATTCTGCAGTGTTTTTCAAACTGTTACACATACAGGTCTGTCAACAGAAATTTTAGAGCCAGAGCAAGAAGTTTCTAATATAAATGAATAGGAACAGGGTCCAATTCTGTTCCCCTAAAACTCTGGGGCCTGAGACAGCAGACCCTTTTGGGTTAATTGCTATTTATTTGCATAGTTTAAATGACTCAAAATGACTTTTTAGATCATACTGTACTCCACTGTATACAGCTCACCTATGGTGTAATTACAGCAAAGCAAAGATGCATATTAAGGTGGAATATAATGATGCACTTGGAATACTGCTAAAGACTCCAAGGTAAGAAAGTGCTAGTGCTTAGTGTGTGACTACATATATTCCCACGTTCCCAGCTCTAATGAGGAACCTCATGTATAAATATATGTAGGTTAGTTGAATCAAGAAATGTGGCACCCAATATTATTCTGACATCTGGAAATGCTGGAAGAGCCAGCTATATGTATTTTTATTCTACCAGACCTTACATCACTACATAATTTTTATATTTGTGTGTATGTATGTCTGTGTGCTGGTGGGTTTATATATGAATATAATATATTGTAAGTGTATGTCCTTGTATGTACAATTTGGTGGGTTTATGTATAGTGCAATTCAGAAAATCAAATTCTTAGGCAAGATGGGAGTGAAGTGTTTTGCCAAAGGACATGCAGCTAGAGCTGGCATCAAACTGCCAATTTTGTATCATGAGAACCGCTCTGTAGCCTCTATCACCAGTCATCGCTACTGCCAATTAATGCGCTTTGCCGAATCTGAAAAGCAGAAATCACATTAGAGAACACTTTTGGCTTTAATCCTAGACTAATGCTGTGTTCCATTTGCCTTTGGAGGTCAGAACTTAGATTTTGAAATGATGTAATCTTAGGCTGGAAAAAGACTAACCAGTGTATTACAGTATTAACATTCAACCAAGTAATAGGAAATAGGAAAGTGCTCAAAGCAGCCAAAATGAGGATCCAATTAAGTTAGCGTGTATATTAGCATAACAGAGCGTAATATTGCAGAGGCTGTGCAGGAGTCGGTTCACGGACAGTGGGTGGTCAGTATAAAGCGACTGAGGGAGCATAACACAAGTGCTATCAATATTTTAACTGTTTTTAATTTCCCCAAACACAGGGCGGAGCTGTGTTGGATTTTCTAACTCAAGCTCTGAAACGTTCGAGTAGACATTTCGAGATTGCGGGGAGTTTCAGTTGTCAAGTTAGATCTCTGAGGAAGACTAGAATGCGCCATAGAAACAGGCAACGGTATTACACTTTAACGGGCCCCTCAGTATTTTCTGATCTACGTTATAATGTTGTGTCCTCATCACAAATATACCTGCCGTTGTGTTGATTCATTCACACGTTTAACACACAAACTCTGCATATTCAGACTGAGTTCTGTGTTTTAAACTGTGATTTTAAACTCCATGCACCTTCACTAGAATAATTTCAAACATCTCAGCGCTGGAATTGCCTGGAATTAACCTAAAAAACTACCTCTACACGACGTCACGAGCCCTAGGTCTAGGTCAGACTAGGTCAGGAATCAGAATACACGGTTTGCAAGGACCCCGGAAGTTGAAAACCACGAACAGGCCAATCGGCGAAGAGCTGTGAAGCCATGACTGGGTCCCTTTTGTGGTACAGTACAAGAGTAAACAAAGCGGTCGAGACGTAGATGGAGCCAGACATTCTGTGTTGGCAACGATTCCTGAGATCGAGGATTTAAAGCTGGAACAAAGAGAATGTCTGGTGAATTTTATCAAGGGGAAAGACGTTATTGCCCTTCTTCCTACGGGATTTGGTGCATTACATACGTCACAACCAAATAGCAGTGATTGGTTAAATTTTTAAAAAAGGTACCCGCCTACCATTGAGCAAACGAATCCTAATGCTACGAAGTCAGACGGTTTCCACGAAGTGAAACCGACTGATGAATTAGGCAAACAGACAAAAGGTGATCAGGCCTTTTCAGTCGGGGCGCCTCACTTCTTATAACTAATTTTTCTGGGTTGGCCTTCCTTTAACTGGTTTTAGCTTGATTTTATTCCTTATGTCTTTTTATTCTATTTCTTTTTATTTGTTTATTATAATGAATTGGGTTGTTTGCATCATTGTCTGTTTTTGTATGCTTTCTGTATGCTATTTTTATGCTTTTTGTATTGTTCTTTGTTGCTTGTACAGCACTTTGTAAGTGCTCTCTCCCTGTCGCTCTCTGCCTCCTTCTCTATCTCTCCCTCTCTCTCTATCTTTCGCCCCCCCCTCCCTCTCTCTCTCTCTCCATTCCCTTTCTTTGTTTCTTTCTTTTTCCTCCTGTCCTGTCCGGTCCTGTCATCTCCTTCTTCCTCCCCTCCTTGAGTCGTCACCTCACCGTGGTGGAGGGGTTTCGGTGCCTGAATGATCCCAGGAGCTGCGCTGGGGGACGGGTCAGACCAAGAGCGGCTCTTCTCTCCCCTTCATCTTTCTCCTAATCTCTTGATGGATTCAACATTTATATTAATCTCACTGTGTATGTAATGGTAATGTAATATTCACTTTTGGTTACTTAATCTTATTATAATCAATGTATCAATATGTGTACTTAAACAATTATGTTTCTGAGTATTGCAGATTTCATGAGTTTGCAGAAGGTCATGAAGTCCTATCTATTCAATAACAGGAAACATCTTGGGCGACCATTGCTTAAGGAGGATAAACTAAGGAGGATGAAATGAGGAAGGGCAGACTGACCTTAACTCTGGCCTGAATACACTGTACTGAAGTGTTATTTTTGTGTTTCCTGTAAGCAAAAAAGGAACTACTCCTTTAATGTTTTGCATGTTCCCCCTCCCGTTCTGAGATGAGTAGTTCCCATTGTAACTAGGGGTCCTAATACTGAATAAAAGGCGTGGAGAAACGAGAGAAGGCTTTAGAGAGTATTGGGTGAACGGCAAGTTACATGTAACTAAAGCTCTTCTCTCGGTACTCCCTCCACGCGTGTAAAAGATATTAATCTCTTGTCTTCTCTCTTGTTATTGAATATTGAGTATAGGTGTAAAGGTGAACCTGTCATCTCTCCTCCTCTTTCTCTCGTTTCAGTACTAGGGGGATATTCCATCGAAGTCGCTCCTCCTCTCCTGTTGTCCTCCTCCTCTCCTGTTCTTTTCCTCTCCTGTTCTCCCTCTTCTGTCCTGTTCTCCTCCTCCTCTTCCGGTCGCTCCGTGGATCTTACCTGGAACGGAACTCTTCACATGTACTCAACAAGAAATGACAAAATCCGGGTTGACGTGTTTGCAGTTTGACAGAGTGAGAGATGAGGGGATGAAGAGTGAAAGAGAGAGACCCCCTGTTGAAGACCACTGCCATAAATAAAATCTTAAACTGGACTTGGTGATTTTCATTCTTTATTCACATTGAAGACATGGCCTGGAACCAGAGAGTGACTAGAGTTAATGTTCATATTTATTATTATTATCACAAGATGTAACAGAGCATTTTTACTCAAACATGTGTGAATAAAAGAAAATACAGTTCCAGTTATGGTTTTGATGAGAGAATGCCATTATAATATAACTTAAAGGTTGTATGGAGGATTTATTTTTAGTTTCAAACTGTCATTGAAAGTTTAAAATACCATTACAGAGACGCAGCAGCTTTGTAATTATGATGACCAAAAAAAAAAAGAACGAAAATCTATCAACTGTGGATGTAGTGAGGCCAGATAAACATCAGCCAATAGAAAACGAGGCTCCCTCATTTTCTATTGGCTGTTAGGTTGTCAATCAAACTCCCTAGTATAACTGACTCGTCGGCGCGCGGGGATTACGTGGTTTACGCAGCGGTTCTTAGAGGCTTTTTCGAACTGTCGCTTCCTCACATTTCGCACAAAGTTTGTCACGACGGCGGACGAGAATCCACGACCGGTTCGCCGCAAAAGAAAGTCCGTTTTTGAGGTCGCTGAAAGAAGAAGAGAAGAGGAAAAGGAGCAAAGACAAACTGAGGTGATTCTTGGAGATCTCGTCCAGCGATGGCGCGACCAAAGCAGACGAAGGGACTAAAAACTGACGCGTCGGTCGCTGAATTACTTCTAGACAGGAAACTCCAACAGTAATTCTGAATGCGCACAAGGACTGTCACTGTATTTCTCTTCCCTTAAAAAAATCCTCTATACAACCTTTAAAGCTCACAAGAATCTGTTTTGTTTAATATAGGACCTTTAAACTTGCAGAGAAACGCCTAATGGGAATAAACTCGCTTACTTTTTCTAACACAGCAACTGAACTCAAAAAGTTGCAGAGGTTGTAATATGGGTGGTTTCATGTATAATGTAAGGCTTGAGTTTACTATATGCTACTGCTTTTAAAGTCTCAATCGCTGCCACCGTCAACCAAAAATATCTTGTTTTTGAGACTAAATCTGGAACACGGGGACTGCATTCCCACAAGGGCGTCACAGAGTTTATATTTGAAGATCAATATGAGGCAGACGACATGCTGTTAATGACTGGAGTCCATCACACGCAGCTATATTGGGATAAATGCCTCTTTGGGACAACTTTGAAGACAGAGTTTATTAGTAGCCTGAAGCTGAGGGGACTGTGAGTTCAGCTCCGACCTGCTGAGAACCATGACGGACAATACAGCTCTGTCTACAGAAAGCTACAGCAGGGGCAGTCAAGGTCGGATCTTACTTTATGGGGACACTTTTGCTTTAATTTAGAAACGATGTATCCAGCATAGACTGTATTATGGACATAAGTAACCTGCTGGCCGCCATGTTCCAGATGGAAAATGAGCATGGGCGCGCTTTGGGCTCCATCGACTCCGGTTCCAATTGAATGTGTATTGAAACAACGTCACTGTAAATGCTGCTGTCAGTCTCCTCATTTTGGTCTATAAATGTTCGTATTAACCTACTCTCTATTTTATCCATACATCGATTCCTATTCCTGATGTGGAACTCAGCTCCAAATTCACCCCATAACTGCAGGCCTCGATGAGCTTCATTTGACTGAACAACCCCTCAGTCCACTTCTTTATTCAGTCTATAATATCCACAAATGATGCGACACTGTATTTCGTGGTTAAAGTAACTAAAGCCGCACTATGTAGCTATGTTTTCGGGGTCTGCAAATTGCTTGTCTCCATAGAAATGTTTTTGCTTTGCCTGAAATGTTGTACAGTAAAGCTTTTATTGTATCCATCTCAATGAAGACACGATCAGGCAAAGTTATAAGTCAGATCTGTGACAGGCAAGCATGCATTGCTGCAAGAAACCATGCTTTTCAAGCCACAATAGTTAGATATATCTGTTGACATTGTGGAAGATTCCAGACAAAGTTTAAAGTTGGTCTGTGTCTGAATGTCACACTATACCCTGCTTAGGGCACTATTTAGCGGTCACGCCATTTTTAGTGGTTTCCAAATGCCCAGTTGGTTAAAAAGTACTGCACTCAAAATTTCCCACAGTGCATCAAAGTAGGAACACCAGTGAACAGTGACAGGTCTGTAACTGGACACAACACGACTGAATGAAGCAGATAAAAGTGCTGGTTTATCCCATTGTTGATCCTGATTTTGAATAAACCATTGTATGGAGTAAGAAAGCTTTCAGAAATATTTGTGTGAATAGGACAGAAATCCGTGCATATTTGGGAAATCCGTGCATATTTGGCTGTACTTGAGCATAAAATAAATATTCATAAACTCCCGAATGAGTCCAGTCGTACATAAAACGCATTGTGTGTATTTTATCCATCAGCATACGAATTGAAAATTTACAATTACCCTTTCTTCAGGACGAATACGAATTCACAGATGCAACTCGACTGTCAAAAATACATCATCACTTCACAGGCTTTATTTATTGAGCAGAAAAAACATTGATGCCGGACTTTTGCGACGCATACGGACTGAACCAGGACTAAACCAGGACTGAACCAGGACTAAACCAGAACTGAACTAGGACTAAAACAGGACTATGCTCAACTACAGTAAGTAAGTAAGTAAGTTTTTTTTTAATTTATATATATTATATTATGTGCTTTTCACATTATTATTCAGTCACTCCATACCCGGTTGTTAAGTTACTAGTGTAACCCTGTTGCCCTGGGGCAGACTGACTGAAGCGCGGCTGCCAATCGGCGCCATCAGTCCCTCTGACCACCACCATCACTCACGCACACACCACTTTCATATTAGGCAATGTGGGTGATATTCTCAGGCTCCCATCCAAGTACTAACCAAGCTCGGCCTTGCTAAGCTTCTGTGATCAGATGGGATAAGGCTTTGACAAACCAATATGGCCACAAAGCCAAACAGCCAAATATGCTCTGATATCACGAAATTCTATTCTATACACACAAAAATTTCTGAAAGCTTTCTTACTCCATACGGTTGACGTGTAAAGTTGCTAGTGTTAGCCACTTACCTCGGCTCAAGATATTAAAAGATCGTTCATATCCACATCTCATGCAAAAAAAACCAAAACGATATGAAGCTTGGTGCCCAGACGCCAGAGTCACATGACCCAAAAGTAGTGAGCTGAGTGTTCGAATCACTGTGTGAAAGAGTGCACTGTATCGTTCACTAAAGACTGTGGGCCTATGCAGAGAATGAGGGGTTAGGGACTGGGAGAGACATTCAGACACAGCCTTGAACGAATTATTTCAATAACATGTTTTCAGTGAATCATATTGCCTCTTTTTTTCTCAGTAAAAGGAAAAAAAAAAAAAAAAATCATGAAAGAAGACATGCTTTTACTTGATTATTATGTGTAATGAATTTCCAGGGACTTTTAAAGAAGTCAAACGCAGGACAATTAAGATTACTCAAACATGCATACACGACTCAAAACATAACTATTAAAATCTCCATGCATAATCTGTCTGATTTAAGACAGTGCTCGGGGCTTATGCATTTGCACATTCTGCTTTTTCCAGGAAATATAAATCAGCTTTTACAATCAGATGCACATCACATAATTGGTTTTGTTGAGTGCCTATCCGCTAAGATCAAACAGTCATCGGAAAAAAAAAAGAATTGACGTGGTTAGCTTAACAAACACTGGCTTTTATGTAAACAACCAACATTTGCATAGCGCATTTTTCACTATGAATTATGCAACACATTTTTCTGAACTTGGGGACATTTTCTGTACCAATGGTTTGTGCATTGTCGCAGATTCTCATTTTCCCCTTCACATCTCGCATATGTACAATCTCAGCTCTGGAAAACCAATCAACCTCTAGTCTCAAAGTTGGTGTATTTTAATTTCTGTTATCGGGCGTGGCTCCAAAAAATTGATCAAATTGAGATTTTGCAGCTGGTCATCAACATTACCTGGGCGTGTGAAGCTAACTGTAGGCACTGACCTGTCTGAAGGTCTGTTCAAGTTAGACTTAATCAGAGCATTGTTATAAAACATTCTGACCACAAAGAACTGATTTAGCTGGATCTAAACCAGGTGAGCTGCTGTGTACTGTTAAACATTTTATGGGGACTCCTTCAAATAACATTACAGTCACAAACTAGTCACTGTCACCTTTTTGTTGCAAATCAAACACCTAAACAGCACCATGACCATTCGTATTGATCACAGGTGCCTGAAAATGTGTTGTTTTCAGTAGTGTTGTAGTACTCGACACTGGTCTTGGTCTCGAGACAGCTTTTTTACTGTCTTGATCTCGTCTTGGATTCGAGCGCAGTTGGACATGGGGCCCAGTCAAGCAGAAGTAAACAGCAAGGCCAAAAATTCAAGTTAATGCATCTGATATAAAAATGTATTCAACAGATACATATGTACTCTAGTTTATGAAACTGTTTACCTTTTTTCTGTACCATTTTTGGTTCTAAAGTTACATACGTTTTAAACATATCATGTATGCATCATGGAACAAAAATTATTTCCAAAAAAAATTATATCTTGTGTTATTCGATCTTTGAACTGTTGATGAAGGTACATGATTTTTCAAAAAAAAAAAAAAAGAAAAGTATTTAAAATGATAAAAATTTG